GTCCAGAAATATCATTCGCTATCTGGGATGCACGGCTGTGTGGCCTGTGGCCCGCAAATGCTCATGATTTGAATCTTTGGAGTCAGCGCAACCGGGCGTGTCGGGGATTTCGGGCCTTTTGTCATCTTCCTGGTGTTGTTCGAAAATCATTCTCGATTCTCAAAGCTGCAGCAGCTAGACACGGACCACAACCGCAAAACCTGCATGTGCTGCTGTAGTAATCGATTTTCGATTCGTACGTTGAGGTGACGAGACCCACCACCACCGGTTGTTCGCTGTGACTCGTACTGCTGCTGTTCATGTTCTGTTCTCACCGGATGACAGCCCCGTGAACCCGTCTCCAGCGCACGTGCAGCAAGCCAGCGTCACGGCTATTGCAATACGTTCGAGCCATGCAAACATGCTTCCTCTGGCTGGCAGCCCCATATACAGCAGCGTGTGTGTTATGTAAGTCTCCCCAAGCCTTGGAAGACAGACGAACAGGGAAAACGGAGCGCAAAGACCACCGAACGAAGCAGTGAGCATACAGGACATGAATGAGCCATTATACTACACTGCTGTAAACGAGACTAAAGCACGGCAGCAGCGACGGAATAACAGCAGTGCATTCTGGATAACCCTCCAAGGCAGTTATATGGACAACCTCCAGTGTCTCACGTTCCGTTACTCCTCTCATGTATGTGACGCTGCTGGCTGACTTGCTGTAGTTCCGCGGGATGCTGGGCATGGTGGCGCAAGCAGAAGCATCCATGTCACAATAGCATATAGGAGGCAATCCCTGAACGATGGAGGAACTTGGTGTCTATAAAGAGAGATGCTGTAGTACGCTCACCGTCACGCACCTAACGCTTGTCGCTCATCAGCTGTATGACATGATGAATGTTGTCGGTTTGTTGCGCAGTGCAGAGAGGGCAGCGCACGGCACGCAGTAGGGGGCTGCATGGCTGTGAGCCGTGGGGGGGTGTATGTCATGCACGGAGCCCCCGCTGCGAAGTTACTTGCTCATTCGCCTGGGGCTTCGAAGCACGGTTCTTGTTGTTCTCTCATAGATTAGCCGTGCGAAGAGAAGAGGCTGGGATGGATTCATGAAAGCATCAGTCGTTGTGGGCTGCAATGGTTGACGTTTCAACGAACCTTGAGATGCCGCCACCAAGGTTGCACCGGAGACGCGGCATGACCAGCATGCTGTTTGCTGTACGAGTGCTTATCAAGTTCATTTTCGTTCGGTCTTCGCCTCCCTATGTCGTACGAGAAGTCTTCTGCAGGGCAGGGATCGCAAGCGGACGCAAATCAATGCACGCGCTTGTTCTCTGGTTTCAAGATGATTCATGAAGAGATCAAGGTATCATACGATAGCCTATCACATAGACTACATGACAAAGAAAGAAAAATTGAAAAATGTGAAGGTGGCGAGTATATATAGACCTTGAAGTATACCTCACGTTCTAGGTAAAATTTGGGTCAAAAGGAGGGGGGGGG